GAGCTTCGGTATCACATCGCCGAAAAGGAGGTAATCGCTATCCTGAGGGCGTTGCAAGTCTTTCATAGAATTCCGGAAGGCCGACAACAGATTATCTACACAAGATATTCTGTTCTAAAATGTGCGGTCCTTCCGGAGGCACACTTTCACATTGGGATATCAAAATTCAGAAAGTCCAAAAGGATGAAGATGGTCTTGCAGTCATCATGGGTGCATGGATCACACCACGAGAATATTTGGATGAGGCCGTCAAGACACTGATCCCTTTGAGGGACATGTTCGAAGGCTACCGGTTGTGAGCGTTGAGATGTTAGGGAGTTATTTACAGGTCGTCATTTTGAGTATCGACGGCGCTGCAAAATTCTCCACCAAGAAAGGAAGCTGTGGCTGTGTGTTATGGCCGCTACCTGGTTGGGAAGTTCTGAAAGCAAAGGGTTTCTATTTAGAGAATAACACCGTAAACGAGACCGAATATCATGGACTTCTCAACAGACCCGAGATGGTTACAGAAATGAGGCTGCAACATTTGGTTGTGGTTGGAGATTCACGAATTGGTATTCAACAGGATCAAGAATTGATCAGCTGCAATCGAAAACATCTCCAAAAGCATCTTGCCAATGTCGAGTTACTCAAAACAAAATTTGGATCATTACGCTTAGTACATCTGAAGCGGGAGTACAATCAAATCGCGGACTATTTGACCACGAAGACTTTGGATCGGATGAGTCATAGGACGTTACGGACACGGAGGGAATTGCACATTTGGAGCACCTGTTGAAGGTTGCAGAGAAACTCATGAAGGCCTAAGACTCCAAGTTACAACCTGTAATTGAATCAACTGCTGGGGAGATACTGTCAAAAGATGATAAGCACCCTACTGCAAAATCAGCTCCATTGACGAAATCAGCTCGCGTACTTGCAGCAGTAACGCGTCCCAGAAGCTAAGCCAAACCAACCCCGAGGTATCAACCCATGGACCGTTTGGAATTCCAAGCTGAATGATGGCGACGCATTCGTGTCTATCAGGACGCGGATGAGACGCGGATGAGTACCTGTCAGAGATCAAGACCTTTCCGAAGGAGGACTTCCAGACGTTTTCACCCAGGAGGCTGCGGAAAATCGCCAAGCTTGCTGACCTATTTGCACTTGATACTCGGGATGTGTTGTATCGACTAGCTCGCTCGACTCGGGATAGCCCACGTGAATTTTAGTGTGAACCTCGACTTGTCGTTCCAAATGCACTTCGAGACGACACCCAACACTATGGACATGAAGATTTCCAAGGAGGTCATCAAGGTATCACTAGGACACATAAGAAACTGTGCGCGGAATTCTATTGACCAGGCATGTATGCTGACGTAGAACACTTTGTGAAAGAGTGGATTGACTGTACGAGAGGAAAAGGAAAACCTCCAAACGCCGAACAGTCACCTGGGAATATCGATCCCGGACAACCGTTCAAAGTCATTTCGATGGACTTCGTGACACACATGCTCAAATCTGATCGAGGGAACACGTCCCTATTCATATTTCAAGATATGGTTTCCGGGTATAAACCTATTGATTCGACAATGGCTCAGGATGTCGCGGAAGCTTGTGAGGAACGTGTCTTTCGGAACGTTGGAGCGAGTTCGATGATCCGACATGATCAGGGTCCCCGCTTTATGAGTGAGGTATTTACTCGTTTTAGAGAACTTTTAAATAGTCGCCAGAGCCCCACGTTGGAATATCGACCTCAAGCAAACCGGCAACAAGAACGATCTGTCCGAACGGTTGTCAAGAGTATTCGCGCCTACATTGAACAGCCAGGCCAAACCAACTGGGACGACCATGCGAAAAGATTGATATTCGCTCTGAACACTTCGTTTGACGCGACAAGTTTGGATACACGGGTCTACCTGATACACGGTTGGGACCCACAAAGCACTCTGAAAGCGATGTTAGGCTCAACGCCATCGAGTGTACCGGAACATACGGCTTACGAATGGAGACGCAAGGTTCAGAGAAACTACGGTTATGCGAAAACCTTTACCGAAGCCTTACATAACGAAGCTCGACGACATCGTTCTGATATCCAAACGCGAAGGTGGAAATAATTGTCCGAACGTTTGAAATCAGGATTCCAGAAAGGTGACGATATTTGGTTGTATATTCCAAAGGTGCAAACCGGAATAAGTAAGAAATTTGCACACTTATAGCATGGGCCTTTTCAAATCGATGAAGTATTGGATTATTTCCAAATAATGTAGAAGATGGACAGCACTGGTTACCGGGTCAATCCCTGGGTTCATATCAGTCGTCTGAAACGAACAGACTTTTTTCCTAAAAGACCGATAGTTGTTGTAGATGTCGATGAAGAGGACGACTTGGATGGCGCACTATTTCCAGAAGACAGTTGGGTAGCTGATGTCCAAAAGGATGACTATGAAGTAGATAAGAGGTTAGACCATCGATGGTCCAAAAGTACTCGGACTTCTAAAAGGCGTCGGGAGTACCTTGTCAAATGGAAAGTTTATGACGATCCAGAATGGCTCTCTACGTTCCAACTGAATTGTGGAGCACTACTCTAATAGTTCACTCAAGGTACATGCGCTCGCGTCCGCTTTCGGAGTATGGAAACTGGAGATGATCGCCCTCAAAACAACCTTATCGAAAAATGATCGAAGTGCTGTACTTATGTTTGGAATGACAGAAGCAGTCGTGAAAATCTTTCATTATCCAGACTTTTGGAAAGCATCGGACGTTTGGTAACGAGTTCGGAAGGCATGAAGGAAAGTGAAGGAAATGCTGATATATTTTGGAGACTTAAGATTGAAACGGATTATGGAAGATGAAAAGTGTGTGCAAAAGAGTTACACTAAATGGACCACGCTGATGCCGTCACTTAGACATCCTCAGAGATTGGTTCTCATTCCGCTTTTGGAAGAATTTTTTTGCGAACGGTCTCCGGAAGGCGAGCAATCTGCTACTCGACGTAGTACAGTTAGTCCATTGAAGGCGCACAGGCTCGGCCTTATCCAAACGCCGCAGCTGCTCACGCAGCGGGTATGGCTTTTGGGTGGCAGGATCGAGCTTACTCTTGCCCATAATAATCCCATCACAAAGCGGTA